TTATTAATAATAACTGGATTAATATTATTATTAATAGTTTTTATGATTTCTAAATCGTCAGTCCGTTTTTTCTGCTCTGTCGCCAACATGTACAGTAATGGGAAATCCAGACCCTTGACCGTTTAGCGTTAGCCGTTAGCTTCACCAGCCGATCACACGGTCACCTGGTTTCTGAGCACTCCAGTTGTTCTATAGAACCTCCTTGGTGATAGTGGACAACAAAATAATGCGTGGTCTAGAATGCAGCTTCTCAAATTGTGCGCATAAGCCGTGATTTTCAGAAACAGGGTCACGCATCGTGCTTGTTGGGAACACTCAGCTCAGTCGGACTGAGTTCACACATTTTCTCACCAGCTCAGCGAGATTACTACTTTCAGTGCGTAACGGCAGCGTGTTCTGACCTAAAGGTGGAATGAAAATAACCAGTGTGAGCGTTTACCYRGGGCTGTGTTGTTCCAGTTTAAAGATGTGAACAGTCTCGGTGTTGCTCGAGGCACACAGGAACTGAGCGTCGGCGCTGAAGGACAATGAGCTGATGCTAACGTATCTGAGGAACAGAAACCCACAAACGTTAACATCCAATTAAAGATTTTAGCAAAAGGGCAGTGCAGCGCTCAACACATGCACAAGTTTATGCACAATCAGTTATTGCAGTTTATTGGTCTGTTATTTCCTTATCCAACCAGGACTGGGGAAATGAGCACTRACCTTTTCATCCCTCGCCGAAATTCAAACAACCTTTGACCCTCAGGAACACTGAAAACTCTGATTACAGTGCCCTGATGAAGAGAAGAAGCAGCTCAGACGTGCTGATCAGTAATAAGGCAGAATAAAAAGAAATCCTGTCCTCACCTTCTCGGATGCACTGGCCAGTTTGGAGCCAGAAGCGTTAAATGTGAGAGCCGCCAGCGGACTGTCGTGGGCCTGGATCAGAGTCACCGTGCTCTGAAGGGAAACAATAATCACATCGGCACCAACGCCAGTTTAATWTTCACCATTAGCTTCAAATTCATGACGAGAGCTTTGTTTTATCGCGCAGAATTTCACACAGCCTCACCAGGTTGTTCGCGTCGTAGACCGTGATCTCTCCGATGGTGGAGCTGCCGGGGTACGCCAGGAACGAGTTGCCATGATTGACAGAGAGCGCACACAGACCTGCAGGGTTAAACAGAAGCTCGATTAGAAAGGTTCACATCCGTCAGATCAGCTTTAATGTTTGTGTTAGTCAAACCCTGATTTGACCATTTTATCTGCACTATTTTCAAACTGAATGAAGTTGTTTCTGTTATCCAAATCAAACTGTGACTATTGGGTCTTATCGGAACCAAAACAATAACACCCTCTCAGAAGCAGCATCTGTCCCAGGCTGCTCTGACAGAAGACTACATAATGATTAAAGATGACTCAACCTCTGAAAGTAACGTGTACATCTGACTTCCTGGTCACAACCCTGGAGGCRGTACATTTTACGTCGGACTTCACAACGTAACCAACTTTGTTTATATTACAGACAGAACAGTCTCATAYTGATAAGACACACTGACTCTCTACCTCTGTTTAAAGCATTGGTTCTCAATTCTGGTCCTCATGGTCCACTATCCTGCATGTTTTAATTGTTTCCCTGCTCTTCAGCAGGTCTTTAAGTTCTGCAGAAAGTTGTCAATCACACATTCAATTAAATCAGGAGTGCCAAAGCAGGGAAACAACTAARACATGCAGGAATTGAGAACCACTGGCTAAAAATACAAAACTGGRTCTTAAATTCAGTTAATCAGTCACAAAATTTCCTTCAACCTAAATTACTTTGTTGATCCTGTTTACTTGTAAATAACCAGTGTAGAACTGCAGCAGCTCCAGTGACGTGCAGCTTGGGGCACTTCTTGAAGAAAAAGGTCTATATGACAGTATTGTCCGAAAACAAAGTGAAATGTTTGAGTCCCGAGTTGTTTTAAAGCAGCAGCAAAAATCTTGACCACGTTAGGACTCGCCACTGGCTCATCTGTCCAGTTAGAGTTAAACCATGTGTCTCCAAACTGGTGTCTTTGGAAGAACTATCTAGTTCAGAATCTTTCCACAGAAACCTATTTCAAAACGTTCACACTATCATTTTAAGTTTTAAGTATTAAGTGAAACGCTCTGTAGCTTTTTGAAACGGACCAAAAATGCCTTTTATTTTCCTTACAAACTGAATGGCACCTGTGGTCAGTTCAAACAGTTACGTTTTGATTTTACAAAGCTAAAATGATCAGGATTGTGGCTAACCTGCTGTTTAAGAGTTGTGGAAATAAAAAACACAGTAAATTCCCCCTCCCCCTGTGTACCTGAGGGGTTGATGGGCGTGTTCAGCAGGGTCTTGAGAAGCTTCATGTCTCTGATATTGTGGATGTAGATCGACTCCTCCAGGCACACCACGAGCCGCTGATGTTCAAATGAGAAGCGACATGAACAGACATGAAAACCAGCACCACAACACGCTGGAAGAGAGGCRGCGCAACTATCAGTTTCCTGTCCTCACCTGTCTGTTGAGCTTGACGGAGAGAATGTTGTTGGAGTAGCTGTAGTTACAAATCTCTGTTCCCTTCTTAAAGTGGTAGACGTTCATTCGTCGGGGCATGGAAAGGCTGACCACCACGACCAGGCTGCTGGAGAACAATCGCTCCACTATATAGACGTCAGGACACTCCACTGAGAATGAGAACATGCACATCAGCTGCCATCACATTTGTGCCATTTCACTTTTTTAAAAGGAGACACGTCATGCTTTTAAATCCTTCTTTTTCCATTTAAATCATTCAGTTGGGGTCTACATTAAGTGGAACTGCAAGGCTTCGGTCTGAATTCCTCCTTACTGTAGCTCCACAAGCCCCTCGTGCTCCCCGTTTCTGAGATGTGTCTCAGATCAACTCGTTTTAATGCTGTCTCTTTAAATATAAACAAGAAGCTTCACACCCCGCCCCCTCCAGCTTCCAGAACAGTCCATTCCAGTTTGATAGAAGGATTTATGTATGTCTATAGAAACATTTTATTTACAAATAAATAAAAGGATGTCAACGAGGTGAGACTTGTCCATCCAGCCTTACACGCTGGAGCCAGAGCAGTGGTGGCTGGTCAATAGGGGGCGCTAGGGCGCTGCCC